TTTTTTTTTTTTTTTTTTTTTTTTTTTTTTTTTTTTTTATAAATATCTTTTATGAGATATACTAGTTATATAGTTAAATACGTTATTAAATATAAAGCTAAAATATTATTTAAATGTTTATAATTAAAAAAAGGAAAATTTTAAATGAAAAGCATTTATTAATTATATTATTTAGTCTTTTAATTATATATATATTCATTTATATTTGCTAAATAAAATATAGAAGTAATGTTGTCTTTTTATTAATATATATAGAAAAAAGTTATATTTTTGCTCTTCAATGCTAAAAATATAATATTATATTTTTAAAAATAAAGTATTTTTTTATTTCTATTATTTATTTAATATACAGTTAGAAATATATTTTATGTTTATATATATTCATTTAATAAAAAAAAATAGTCTTAAGAAATTAAGATTTTCAATATTTTAGTAATTTTTATGAGTTGTGGATATACAAAATTCTATAAAAATACATAATATTAAGTTATAAAATTATATACAAATTTTTGAAATAAATTGTCTTAGATAAAAGCTGAAAAAAAATAAAAAAAAAAATTGAAATAAGATAATGATAATTATAATTTAATCTATAATATATTAATGACGTAATTAATTATAATTATAAAAGTTAATTATTTAATATTTTATTTAAAAAGGGTATAATCTATACAATGATTGAAGAAAAAAGTACCATCTGTAAAGGAAAAGGTTATATATTAAAAAGAGCTAATAAAGAGTATATATATAACAACTCAAAAAAAAAAAAGTACATTGAAAAGAAAAAAAATAATATTTTTAATAAATTTAAACCAGTTATATTACCATTACTAAATCAAAATAATAAAATAAAGAATAATGATACTTTGAAGAATAATATAAATTTACTAAACGAAAGTGAAATAAATAGTTTTCTATTAAGAAATAAGGCATTTAGATTAACATGGTCATGTATAATAGAAAAAATTCAAAAAGAAATAGATATAGAAGTATCAAAAAATTTGGATAATGTTTTTGAAGAAATATATTTACATTCTATATCAAATAATGAATACCTTCCTTTAATTTTAGTAACATCAGGAACTAATGTTTCTGACCATGAAATAATTATTGATACATTATCTTGTGAATTAAAAAAGTGGAATTATAAAAAAAGAAAAACAGACAACGATAATGATCCAAATATTTTAGATACTTTATTTAAAAGAGATAAAGAAAGAAAAATAAAAAAAATATGTTTAGATAATGATGATGAATGTAAAAAAGAAAACAATGTATTAATTAATGAGCTAAATAATAAAAATGAAAATAAATATTTAAATAATGATACATCTGACGATAATGATATATATGTATGCTCAATTAACTCAAGTACATCTAATAATATAAATTTAGCCATATATAATATATATGATCAATTATATAAAGAATATAAAATGAGAAGTAATTTAAAAAAATATAGGAAATCTATCAACAAAGAAATTTATAGTAACGATATAAGAAAAAGTGCAAGAAGAGATGATATCAACATATCCAACATTATGAAAAATAAAAAGAATATTTCTTCATTTTATGTACATAAAGAAATAATAGAAGATTATTCTTTAAATAAAAAAATGGTAAGCATAGATAAATTAGTTGAGTTGTATAAAAATATGAGTGAAATTAATAAAAAGGAAGAAAAGGATGAAGAAAATTTTGTTAGTGATAATGATTTATCATCCATTTATGATGAAGTAGAAGAAAATAATAAAAATTCTCTTAATAATTATGGTAAGTTGGAATTATACAATAAACAAAATAATTATTTTAGTGATGGTAGAAAAAAAGTAAGAATAATTATATTAATACATGATTGTGAATATTTTAACATCAATATATTAAATGGAATTTTAAATGTTCTCATAAATTTACGAATTGACAATAAAGTTTGTTTAAGTGTAATATTAGGAGTATCTACGCCTTCTTTTTTTTTTAATAGAATAACTACACCTGATACACAAAGTAAATTAAGAATTAAAACGGTGGATATATTAAATAACAAATTAATATGTGAAAAAATTTGCAACAGTTTATTATTTGAAAATTTTTTGCCTTTTATAATAAATTTTAGAACTATGCATGCTATAAAATTATTGTTACATAAAAATAATCAATCAATTAGTCATTTAATTCATACTCTATATATTTTAACAAAAGAGTTTTATGATAACAATATGTTTTCATTTTTAACATTGCCTATGGATTATTATTTAAGTGTATTTGAAGATTATAATAACAAAGAAATTGTAACTGAGTATTCTCCATATACTTTTGTACGTTCTTGTCAAAAATCATTTTCTAATTTTTTAAAATATGATATAAGGGTATTACATAAAAAAATTATTTCTTTATGCTATTCAGCTAATTTATATTATAAACATTTATCATATATTAAAAAAAAATATTCTTCTATTCTAGTAGAAAACTATTTTAATTTACACGGAAAGGATTCCATTATACATACTCCAACCAATTCAGATAATGATTATGAAAATTTTACCTTAAAAAAAAAGGAGTTAAAAAAAAACATAGAAAAATATAAAAAACAAAACAAAAACGAAATAGATTATACTTTAAAATATAATGAGAAAAAATTCGAAAATAATAACATTAACACAAATAATGTGAATCATGAACAAAAAGAAGAAAATAAAAATGGTAATATATCCATTTTAAAATTAGACAATTCTGTTTTAGATAAAGATGAAGTAGTATCTAACATAAATTCAAACAATCACAAAAGTAAAAAATATTCAGAATCAACTAAAGAAATAATAAAATTAAGTAATAAATGTGATATAAAAAGAAATATTGTACATGAAGAATGTAAATTAATAAATAATGAATGCATAAAAAAAAGAGAAAATAATGATATGATAAAAAGTGAATATGAAAATGAAGAAAATAATATGACAAATAGAGTAATACAAGAAAATGAAAAAGGAAAAGAGAACTGTAAAAGAAAGGATGATATTTTTGATAGAAATTTATACGCATGGCAATTCAAAGCGAATACTATCAATTGGTGGTTTGATCATCCATTTAAAGACTTAGTTTATTCCTATGAAAATTTTAAATTAAAAAATAATTTAAAAAATGAAATAAATAAATTATTAGATATTGAAAGTAAAAGTACAAATAATTTATATGATATAAATAATATAAAAGAAATTAATAAGAATTTATGTGAAGTTTCTTTATCCAGATCTACATTACAACTAATTGAAAGAAAATATGCTTTTAATATAGCCATTAATTTAATTAATATAATAATAAAATGTAAATCTGAATATAATAATTCTTTGAAAAGAATAGAGTATTTTCGAAAGCTATTTGAAAATTACGAAAAAATAAGATGGCATGAAAACAAAAGCATCTTATATATAGAAGAAATTTATAAAAATGTAGAAAATGATGTGAGAAAATGCATTAATTATTTAATAGATATTATAACTCCATATTATTTTAAAAATCAAGAGGTTTTACTAAAAATGTTAAAAGAATTTAAAAAATATTACACTAAAATATATGCTATTGTATATAATTTAGAAGACTATTTATATTTATTAAAAGAGAAAGAAAAGGAAAAAGATAAAGAGATTTTCATAAATGATGATTTTTCAAAAAATTATTCTTCATATTCCATTTCTTTTTCTATATATTATTCTCTTCTTTTTAAATTAGACGATTTAATAGAAATGTTGAGAAAATATATTAATGAGAAAAATAATTCCCTTTTATTGCAAAATAGCATCAATAAAAATAATTCTCCTGTAAAAAAAAATATGAATACTAATTTTGAAAGCAATGAATTTACAGAATATGAAGATACAACGACAATAAATGAGGATGAAAAGGAATATGATAAAGATTATGACAGTGATAAATTAAAAAAGAAAAAAAAAAAAAGGAAGAAAAAGAAAGTTTATAAAAGATATTTGACAATAGAAAATTCCACTTTAAAAAAAGAGTTATATGAAAATAAAGAAATAAATTTGGGACATATATCGGATTCTATGAATCTCTTTATACATGATTATTTATATTTATTACTTCTTCCACCAATTTATTATCATCCATTAGCATATGAGTTAATAATACATAAGCCTGATAAAGATTTTACTGATATAATGACAAGAGATATAAAGACTGAATTGTTAACAACATTATGCTATACTAATCCATACAAAACAGGAAATCTAATGTGCTCTTGTTGTTTTTTTTCTGAAAATCCAACAAGTTCAGATTTTAGCACTAACATAGTTTGTGATAATAAAATTTATTTAAATCCATATTACGACAATATATCAACTTTAGAAGATTTAGTAAACATTTACCGAATTTATGAAAGATGTAATAAAACTATAGATTTATATAATTTTTTTATTTTTTTCTTGAATATTAAAATAGATAAATTTTTAGGATATTCTGTGGAAAATGAGGAAAAAAAAAATAACTATAAAAATAAGGATGATGATAATTTATGTACAGAAATGCTTCAAGAATATTATTTAAAATTTATTATAGCTATTAGCACTTTCTGTTCTTTTTTTAAGATATTAAAGCCTCCTAATGTTTCAGCTTTATTAAATTATGATGATAAAGAAACTTATACTTCTAATAATTTTGAGACAAAAGTTACAAAAAATTCTGAAGAATCTATTATCAAATTTCTCTCTGATATTAAAAAATCATTACAAGGATGCACTAGCAAAAAATTATTATTTGGTAAATTATACTACAATCAAACTACTGTATCAAGAGAATTATATTTACAAAAAATGATACAGAATAATTCAGAACATAAAGAAGAAATTCAATGTTTTATAGATATTAAAAAAAGAAAAAAAAATTAATAGCAAATTTTTATTTTTGCTTTTCAATATTTTATATAGTTCTTTTATTTCAAAATTATTTCCATAACGTCTACTACAATTAATACTGTAGTACTAATATTTATCCTATAACATTTTTAATTTTTTTTTCGTTTTATAAAAAATTCTTAATTATTTTTTTTTTTGCCGTAAATTTTAAAACTTTTTTTTTTTTTTTTTCATTTACTAAAATTTCTTAAAAACTACTTTTATAAATTAAAAAAGGTAGTTTTAATTATATATAATAAAAATAAGGGTTTCATATTAAGATATATCTAAAAGCATACAAACACTAGTTATATCAGCAAAAAAACATAAAAAATATTATAAAATTATTATTCATTTAATGTGGCATATATGAATATAATTTAAATATTTTATTAGTATATTTATTCTTTTCTTTTTTTTTAAGACTTATATACATAAATTATATTATTAATTTAAAAATCAGTAAAAGAATAAAAAAAAAGAGATAAATGAATAGGTGTTTCTAATAAAAAGGTAGATTTTAGTATATAATTATTATAATACCTCAAAATTATTATATTTCTTAAGTTACAAAAATATATACAAAATATCAAATAATTTATAAATGTTAATTTATTTGTTTTAAGACAGGAAATATATGTAAATTATGCATATTTTATTTATGTTTTATTAATTTGCTATAAAGGTAATATTTTAGTTTAATAATTTAAAAAACCTCATTTTATAAATTTTTACTAAAATTTTTTTTTTTTTTTTTTTTCTGAAAAGATATTTTTAATAAAAAATAATTTATATATTGAATTACTCCTATTTTTTTTTTTTTTTTTTTTTTTACTGTTTTATAATTTTTTTTTTAT